ATTGGATGTTCGTAAAAAAAAAAAAAAAAAAAAACCCAAACAATTGTAAAAGCAGCCAGAGAAAAACAAAAAAGTCACCTATAAAAATATGTAAAATTTAGAATCACAACAAAGTTCTGTACACAAACCTAATAATTGGAGTGAAGTACTTTAAAATCTAAGAGAAAATAAATTCAAAGTCTAATGAACTTTTCCAGGAAACCTATTTTTCAAAATAGATGGAGAAATAAGGTATTTCCATGAAAAACACCAGCTCCAAAGATGTATGAATGCTAAACCAGCAGTTGAGAAAATACTTAAGAATATTCCCAATAGAAATAATAAAACTGACACAACCAAAACTGCAGAGTAATTTCAATGGATAAATAGCAACAAAAACGTAAGGAAAAGCAAAGCAAAGGATTCATCAACAAATAGAGAAGGCAATGATCATAAATAACACATCTAAGTAATATCTCTCAATGTTAAAGGCCTCAGCTCTCCAATTAAAATACACATATTGGCAGTCTGGATCATAAAATAGAATCCAACTGTTTGTTGAATTCAGTGAACTTATCTAATCAAAACAGATATTCATAGACTAAAACTTAAAGATTGGAAAACAATATTTTATGCACCAGGACTCTAAAACATGCAGGGATAAGATGATAATATCAGACATGGTAAGCTTCAAGCTAAACGATTAAAAGAGCTATAAAGCCACTACATACTAGTTAAGGAGTAATCCAAGAAGAAGAGATAATATTGTGATATGCATCATATACTGGAGCACCTATCTTAGTAAAACAAAAATTTCTGAAAGTAAACGATCCAATAAATACTACCACAATCATAGTAGGGAATTTTTATATCCCACTTTTACAAAGAGATAGATCAAATAAACAAAACAATTTAATAAGCTGAGTCAAACCTTTGAACATATGAATTTAATAGATATGTACAGAGTATTCCACCCATGTACAACTGTATATATATTCTTTTCAGCAGCACATGGCACTTTTTCCAAAATAGATCCAATACTAGTTCACAAAGCCTGATTAAGTAAATATAAAAAATTAAATTATGCCAATGCATTCTATCAGAATACCATCCAATGAAAATAGAAACCAATGACAGAAAGTATTTCAGAAAAGGCAAAAGGCTCCTGGAAAACCAGCAATATACTCCTAAACAACAAATGGGTCACAGAAGAAATCAAAGAAATTTAAAATAATCTGAAGGTTAATGACAATGACTGTACATTCACTGAAACCTCTGGGACAATGTGAAAGCAGCCCTGAGTGGAACATTGATCACAATCAATATTCACATTAGGAAAACTGAGAAACCTCAAATACATAACCTTATAAGAAATTGAAAGGTATTTGTGTTACTATAGCAATCTTCCCCAAACCAAAATTAAGAAGGGAAATTATAAAGAGGAGAGCACAATTCAATGAAATTGAGACTAAAAAGAAACCTATAATAAATCAAAGAGCTGGTTATTTGAAAGAATAAATAAAACAGATAAGCCCTTAGTTAGACTAACATCAATGCAATTAGAAATGAAGATATGAAATCACCCCAGCTACTGTCAAAATCTGAAGAAAATAACTACTTTGAAAAATTATATTTCAACAAATTATCAATTGTGAAGCAACAGAAAAATTCACAGACTCAAAGACATTATCAAAGCTAACTCAAGAAGTCATTAATATTTGAATAATGCAATAATAAACAGTGAATTTGAAAAATTCTTCCAACTAAAAAAAGCCAATGTCCTATTGAATTTACTGCTGAATTTTACAAAAATTTTAAGGATATTATATCACCAGTACTCCTCAAGCGTTTCAAAGAAATTGAAGGTGATGGAGAGCTTCCAAACTCATTTATGGAAGCCAGTATAACCTTAATCCTCAAACTGGATAAAGGCCCAACTTAAAAAATTTATAGGCCAGTCTTCTTAATGAACATATATGCAGAAGTCCTCAACAAGATATTAGAAAATAGAATGTAGCACATGATCACAAAGATTATGCACCATGATCAAGTATGTTTCATCCCAGGGAAGCAAAGATGGTTCAACATACATAAGTCAATAAATGAAATACATCACATAAAGAGAAGCAACGTAAAAAATATACAGCATATTGATAGATGCAATAAAAGGCTTTTGAAAAAATACAACACACATACATGATAAAACTCTGAAAACAGGTATAAAAGGACCATGCTTGAAAATGATAAAATCTATTTATGACAAACCAATATCCAGCATCACACTACCTGGGGAAAACTAAACGCATTTCTCTTAAATCAGAAACAAGACAAATATGTCTACTATCACCACTTCTATTCAACGTAGTACCTGAAGCATTAGCCAGAAAAATCAGGAAAGAAAGAAATAAAGTAAATAAAGAAATAAAAGGAATGTATTTATAGGAAAGGAAGAACTCAAACTATTATTATTTGCAGATGACATGATACTCTGCATAGAAGATCCAAAGAGCTACACCAAAAATCTCTTAGAATTAATAGCCAACTTCAGCAATGTAGCAGGATACAAGATCAACACAAATATCATTAGTATTTGTGTACACCAATAATGAAACTCAATGAGCAGGAAATTCTGAAAATAATGCCATTTGCAGTAGCTTCAAGAAAAACAAAATATCTAGGAATTAACATAGTCATGGAAGTAAAATCTTTCAACAAAGAAAACTATAGTACTCTGAAAAAGGAGATTGGATGGGGCATCAGAAATGGAAAGATATCCTTTGTTCCTGGATAAGCAGAATCAATATTGTTAAGTGACAGTACTTCCAAACTATTATCCAGATTCAGTACAGTGCAAACCAAAATACCTACTTAACAGAACTAGAGAAAACAAACCAAATACTTATATGGAATTAGAAGAGATCTGGATAATAATTCTGAGGAACAGGAGCAAACAGGAGGCTTTGAAACGCCTGACTTCAAGCTATTCTACAAAGTAACAGTAATAAACATGTCATGGTGCTGGAACAAAAATAAATACACAGATCAATGGAACAGAATATTGGATACAGAAACATTTGACACGTTCAATTATTTGATCTTTGACAGAGAGACAAAAAGTATGTTGGTAGAGAGAGTCTACTCCTCAAGTGGTGGTTTGAAACTGTTAACTGTTTGCAGAAGATTGAAATGGGGTCTTTATCTCACATTGTATACTAAATTAAAATCAAAATAGATCAGAGGTCTGAATATTAAAATAGAAACACTGAGCTTATTGAAAGATAAAATAGTTAAAACACTTGAAGACGTAAGAAAGGATTTTTCTGAACAGAAGCTCAATAATACAAGAAATAACAGCAAAAATCAACAAATGGGATTATATGAGGCTTAAAAGCTGCTGTACAGCAAAAGTGTCAGTGGAGTGATGAGGCAAGCCACAGAAGGGGAAAAGTTTTACCAATGACTACCCTAGAATACATGAAGAACTCAAAAAAATTAAGCCACCAAAAATTGAAGACCCTGTCAAGAGATAAGCGAGAGCAATAAGATAATTCATGGAGAAATACAAATGGTCAATAAATACACGGAAAAATGTTCAACATCTCTGGCCACTAGAGAAATGCAAATTAAAATAATACAAGTTTCATCTTTCTTCAGAAAGAATGGCAATCATTACCATTGTTGATAACCTTGTACTCTGTTTTTACATCATGTACTCTGTCTATCCTTGGTTTTGATAATGTGTAATATGTTAACTGGTGATTTCTGTTTTTTTTTTTTTTTTTGTAGTTCTGTATTACTTGTACCCTTACACTGCTTTGTTTTTTCTCTTTTTCCTTTTAAATAAAATTTAAAAAAATAAATCAAACAGTAACAAATGTTGGCCTGGCTGTAGTGAAAAATGAACCCTCCTTCAGTTTTGGTGAGCATATAAACCAGTACAATCAATCTGGAGATCTCTCCTAGAACTAGAATTAGAAATTCCATATAACCCAGCTAACCTTCTTCTGGGTATCTTTCCCAAAGACCTTGGGGCATTATACTCAAGTAATGCATGTATACCAATGTTTATAGTAGCACAACTTGTAGTATCTAAGTCCCAGAAGCATCCTGTATATCCATCAACAGATGACTAGATAAAAATATGGTATCATTATATAATGGAATACTATGTTATGAGAAATGACAAATTTGAGATATTTGTAGGAAAATAGATGCACCTGAAAAATATAATGTTGATTGAAATAAACCAGACAGCTGCACAAGTTTACTTATGGTATGTTATGTTTTATTTGAGTGAGGCAATCCACAAATATCGAGAATGACAAAGGGTTAGATAGAAGGAGACAAAAAGAGGGGGCTGAGTGGTTGCATGTACTGATTGCTATGATATTATGACTACTTCCACTATAGCCTTTTCTTTTCTTTCTTTCTTTTTCTTTCTTTCCTTCCTTCCTTTTTTCTTTCTTTCCTTCCTTCCTTCTCCCTCCCTCTTCCTTTCTTCCACCCCCCCCCACTGTTTGATTAACATATTTCCATTGCTAGCTGGCTCCCTACTCCCAGCCCCTGGAAACCACCATTATGATTTGATGGTTTTGATGTGTTTAGTTTTCACACTTAACTGACATCATGTACTGGTGTCTTTCTGTGTTTGGGGAATTTCACTTAGCCTAATGTCCTCAAGACTGATTTGTGTTGCTGCAAATGACAGAATGTCCTTATTTAGTAAATGCTGAATAGTATTCCTAAATGTTCAGGCTGTCCTTAAATTCACTGTGTAGCTCAGGCTGGTCTCAGATTCAAGGTAAACCTCTTTTTGCCTCAGCTTTCTGAGTAGTGGGATTATCGGCACGTAGCACCACACTTGGCCCATTGTGATTTCAGACTACCCAAGTGATATTAAAATTCCTACAAGTTTAACAATAGTTTCTAGTAAGCACATAAGAGATCCAGCAAACGACTGTTAATGTAATGTACCTATTACTCAGCTTCTAAAATTAGGGTCAATCTTGTTTCATGTCCACCCTCACTTTTTCTTTATTTTTTTTTTTAAATTTTATTTTGAAAGTATACAACAGAACAAGTCAGAATAAAGCCAACTAAGATCGTACAGTGAAATTGGTACAGAACTTTACAGCAGGTTACCGGGATAACAGTAATAGGTATAACAGTATATTTTGTTATCTTTATAATAGTTGTTCTTTCAATCATGTATATCAAAATGAGATGAAATATAGAACACTATAGGACTTATCAAAACAGAATATTGAATAGAGCAGTACCATTAATCAGAAAAGAGCAAAATGGTAATAGAAATATTTGCCTTCAAAGAGATGATAGAAGGAAATCCCCCTTATTTGCGATGGTCAGCCTCCCAGGAGACGCTCAGATTTCTGGTTCCCATTTGCTAATGGCGTGGGGGGGGGAGGAGGATAGGGGAAGTGGGATATCTGACTCTAGGCCATGTAGCAGTAGGTTCACCACTGCTTAGCAGGGAGGCATGATGGTCATTTGTTTTCACAGTGTCCTCAGTTCCAAATGGCGTGGATCTCAGGAGCTGCTGCTGGTTCTCCCCCTGGAAGGGCTGCAGTCGGCCAGACCACCACCGCTTACCAGGGAGGGGAGGTACTTGCTTGGCTTCCCAGGGTCTTAAGTTCCAACAGGAGACACTTCTGGTTCAACCCCTGGAAGGGCTGCAGTCTGCCACACTGCCTCTGCTTACCAGGGAGGGGAGGTGCGTGCTTGGCTTTCCAGAGTCCTAAGTTCCAACATCCACCCTCACTTTTTCATTCCACATCTGATATTTTGATATTTGCAAAAAATCCAGTCTCTGTGTTCTTCAATGCATCTCTATTGTTTTCTTTGTTTGTATCTTGCTTTACTCAAATGAGAGATACTATGTGATACTTTAACTTGTGTGTCCAGGTTATTTTACTCAAAAATATACTTTCCTGGTACATCCACTTTCCTACAAACGTCTTAAGATTGTCCTTTATAACTGAGTAGAATTCCATCATATATAGATACCACATTTCCTTTATACAATCATCTATTGACAGGTATATAGTTTGCTTCCAGGATTGAGCTATTATGAGTTGTGCTGCTCTAAACATTGGTATGCATGTATAATTTTAGTATAATTTCTTGAGTTTTTTGGGGAAGATACCAAGAAGGAAAATATCTAGGCATTTGGAATTTGTAATTTTACTTCTTTGAGAAATTTCCCTAAAGTGGTGCATTCCCACCAAAAATGTAGGAGGGTTCCTTTTTTCACCAAAGCCTCACCAGCATTTGTTATTTTTTTGATTTCTTGATGATCCTACTTTTCTGGAGTAAGATAGAATCTTATCGTTATTTTACTTTACATTTCTCTAATGGCTAGAGATGTTGAACATTCTTGCAAATATTTGTTGGCCATTTGTACTTAACCATATAATATTTAAGATTGTGTGTTTGCTTATTTCACTTAGCATTATCTTCTCTAGTTCCATACATTTACCTACAAATGCCTCATTTATCTTCAGGGCAGCATAGTACTCAATTGAGTATAAATACCACATTTTCCTTATCCATTCATCTGTTGATGAATGTATAAACTGTTTTTAAAATCTAACTCTTAAAATTGTGTTGCTTCAAACATGTGTTGCTTCAAGCATTTATCCCTGTAATATGATATTTTTGACACTTTCAAGGTGCCTAGAAGGGAGATAGCTAGGTAAAATGCAACTTAGATCTTTAGTATTTTGAGGAATCTCTACACTGATTTCTATAGTAGTTTTACTACCACATTCCCCACCCATAATATAGAAGATTAACTTTTGACCCATATTCTCATTAGCTTTTGTTCTTATTCGGTTTTTTGATGATATCCATTCTATCTGTAATAAATGGAATCTTAGTGTAAGTTTAATTTACATGTTGAACATTTCGTGTATGTATGGGCCATTTGTACTTCTGAAAAGTGTCTATTCTTTTTGGTGCTCATTATTTGATTGGATCTTTTAATTTGGAAAGTCTAGTTTTCTTGAGTTCTATATATATTCTGGCCCTTTGTCTGAGGAATAGCTGGCAAGCCCTGTGTTTATCTCTTCACTCTGTTGGTTGTTTTTTTCCTGTATAGAATCTTTTTAATTTGATATGCTCTCATTTGTTGACTCTTGGTTATTTCATGTGCCATTGGGGCTCTATTCAGAAAATTCTTACATATTCCTATGTCTTCAAGACATTGTACCTATTTTATCTTCCAGCAGATTGAATATTTCCACTGTAAAATTTAGATCTTTTATCCACCTTGATTTTAGTTTAGTATTAGTGAGGTATATAGGTCTATACTCAATTTTCTGCATATAGATACCCAATTTTCCCAGCACCGTGTATTAAAGAAGCAGTTTTTTCTCCAGTGTATGCTTTTGACCCCTTAGTGAAAGATAAAATAGCTGTATGTAACTGGGATTTTTTCTGTTTCTTATGTTCTGTTCCATTGATCCACATGCCTGGTTTTCTGCCAGTGTCATGCTGTTTTAATCAACACAGCTTTACAGTAAAACTTCAAGTTAGGGATTGTGATAGCATCTACTTTCCTTTTGTTGCCCAGGATTGTTTCAGCTATTCAGGGTCTTTTCTGGTTCCATATAGATTTTAGGGTTGTTTTCTATAGACCTGTGAGAAATATCATTAATATTTGGATTGGGATCACATTGACTCTGTGTACCAATTTTGAGTATGTTGATTGTGCCTATAGGAAAAGGGGAAATTTTTATTTTCTGGTGTCCTCCTTGAATTCCTTTTTCAGAGTGATGTAATTTCTATTGTACAGGTATTTTACTTTCTTGGTTAGATTAACATTTATGTATTTAATTTTTTATTAATACATGTTTGAAGTACATGCATTTTACAGTCATTTTGGGGAGTGGGTACATGTAAATATTAAAGTTTGCACCTTTTAAAAATCCTCTTCCCTCTCCTTCCCTCCTTCCTTCTTCAAATCTCATAGATATTATTGATCTGAGTTCATGTTTATGGCATATTATGTTTACATTGAGGTCATTAGGACTTTTACGTAGTGTATCTTCACTGTTTTGCCACTGCATTCTTTCACCCCTCACCCCTCACCTCTCACCCCTCACCCCTCACCCCTCACCCCTCACCCATCACTGTAGTTCCCTGTGCTCTTCTCCTTCTGCAGGAGATTCATCCCCTTGTCAACTTCTATCCTTTTTCTATTTCTCTTAGTTTGTACTTTGCCTTCCTCAGATGAGAGATACCATATAGTATTCAAGATTGTGTATTTGATTGGTTTCACTAAATATTACATTTTCCAGGTGCATCTTTTTAAAAAAAATGTCCCAAATTTGTTCTTCTTTATAGTCAAGTAGTGCTCCAATTTGTATAGATACCTTATTTTCCTTATTCAGTTGTCTGTTGATGGGTATACAGGCTCATTACAGGGTTTAGCTGTTGTGAACTGTGCTGCTATTGGTATGCATTTATCACTGTAGCATAATGTCTTATGGTGAGGACACCTAGAAATAGAATAGCTCAGTATATTGTGTTCCTCATATAAGACAAAAAAGTGATATACTTCACTTATTATTATGGTCTCAAGGTGTATTCATTTTTTAAAGATGATTCGTTATTGTTCTTTATGATAAGGCAGTATTCCATTGTGTAAAACTATCACATTTTCTTTACACATTCATTGATTGATGCACATATAGTCTGCTTCCAAGATTTAGCTATTATGAATCATGCTGTTATAATCATGAGTAGCTAGGTCAAATGGAATTTCTCATTACTTTTTAAAAGACTTTCCAGACTGATTTCTATAGTGGTTGTACCACTTAACAGTCTCTCCAACAATGAAGAAGGTTCCTTTTTCCTGTTGCTTCTTCACCACTTGTTGGTTCATTTTTTTATGATAGCCATTCTCTCTGAATGAGATGGAATCACAGTGTTGTTTTAACATGCGTTTCTCAAATAGCCACCAATGTTGAATATTTTTCTATATTTATTTACCATTTTTCTTCATATGAGCATTTTCTATCCATTTTAGATGTTCATCTTTAAATTAGTACATTTAGGTGGTCTAATTTTTGTGTATTGCTCATATATTGTAGTTGTCTGTCCTTGGAATTGCTGATAGATATTTTTTCCTGTTATGTAAGTTATCTCTTCACTATATTCATTGTTTCCTTTTCTGTAAAGGGATTTTTTAATTTGGTCAGATCCTATTTGTTGATCAGCAATATTATTCATTGTGCAACCAGGGTTTTATTCAGAAACTCTTCTCCTATACCTATGTCTCCAAGTGTTTTACCAATTTTGTCTTTCATATGTCTTGATTATCTTGTGGTGAAACACTATTTTGCTTAAATGGTTATGTTTTTACCTGTGCTGTTTTGTTGTTATGCCCTCTTTTTTTATCTCAATCTCCTTTTTATTATCTACTTTTTCATTTGTATCCTTTTAATTAAGGGAAAAATAAATAAAAATAGCAGGATATATTATAGTAACCCACTTTGATTTCCTATTAACTTGATTTGGAACTCTGTATTGCTCTCACCATCTTGTTTTGCCTGATTTTCCTCTATTCTGTTATGCTTGATAGTACCAAGTTTGAAAGTCTAGGCAACAACTATGAAGACAATGAGATTCATTGTGACGCCCATTTTGGTTGACTATTATCTTCTTTTGAAGTCCTCTAATGTCTCCAATGTTTTGGTTCTGTTGGTTTCGTTCTTTACCGTTTTGTTCAATTTTATTATAACTGATGATATAGGCAATTCTTTTTAAGATAACAAGAGGCATTATGGTAACCATTGTTGATCACCTTGTATTTTGTTTTTACATTATGTATTATGTCCATCCTTTTGATTTGACTGTTTTTGTCCTGGTATGTCACATTTGGTTTTACTGTCTTCAAAAAAAAAAAAAAAAGTAATAAGAACTGTGGGAGCAATAAAACCCAAAATGTGTAATTGTCATTGTACAAAAGAAAGGAACAGAAATTTCTCTAAAAGATATAACTGCATATATATTTAAGTGTATAAGATAGATAACCATATTACTGAGTTTTGTTGGATCATTGAACAAAACTGTTTGCAGTCTCACTGTTTGAAAGTCCCCTCTATATGCTTTAATTTTGTAACTTCAACAATTATTTCTAAGATGACAATATGTAATTAACTAGTGATTTCCTGCTGTTTAGTTTTCCTGAAATTCTGTATAATTTGTACCCTTTTTCTGTTTTTTTCTCTTTTCTCCTTAAATAAAATTTTATAAAATTGTCTTTCAACAGATTAAATATTTCCATTTTATATTTAAATTTCAATCACTTTTATTTTAGTTTAATGAATGGTAAGAAAAATAGGTCTAGGTTCAATCTTTGGCATGTGAATAGCCAGTTTTCACAGCAACATTTGTTAAAGAGGCTTTCATTCCTCTAACAAAAACAAAACAAAACAAAACAAAACATCCCACAAAAAATAACTTGTCCTCTTTGTCAAAGATAAGAGAGTTGAGTCTGCCTAGAGTTGTTTCTGTATCTTTTAGTCTGTTCCACTAACTGAAGAGTCTTTTTTTTTTTTTTGCCAATACCATGCCATTTTTATCACTGTAGATTTGTACTATAAATTGAAATATGAGATTTTGATGTTTCCTGTCCAGGATTGTTTTTGTTATTCTAGGAAGTCTCTTCTGGTTCCATGTGAATTTAATATGGTGTTATATAGTTTT